CAGCGCCGCGGGTTGGACCAGGGGGTGCGCGGCCCCTGCCCTCACCTGCCCCCGTCCCTCCCACTGCACACGGCCGGCTGGGGGCTGCAATGAGGCAGGGAGGGTGGGAGAGACGGGGGGAGTCTGAACAAGGCAGGGCAGGGTGCAGGTCTGCGGAGCTCCCCTTGCCTCGGGGCAGAGCTAAGACGTGGCCCTGCCTCCCTACGGGCTCAGGACTGAACCCCCCGTGAGAAGCCTGCGCCGGCTGCAGGCAGAGAGCGGCTGCATGTCGTGCCCGCTGCAGCCCAGGCTCCGTGCCATGCAGCTGGCACCGCCGCGGGCCTGGCCCCTCGCTGCAGTCTGCAGCGGAGGGGGCTGGGGACCCCCTGCCTCCGGGCTGCTGCCCCTGCCGAGGGGCGTCAGGCGGGTGTCTCCATGCGGCTGGGTCCCTCTGGGAGCACTACACGTCTGCTCGATGCCACCTCGGCCTGACTGCGGGGGCCCATGCTGGGAGCAGCAGGGGGAAATCACCCACCCTGGCCCCTTTGCAACAGTGCAGACTCCCTGCTGGGGAGAGCTCCAGGCGGCTCAGCTCTCCCCGACTGCCCAGCACCGAGCCCCCAAGTCCGACTGCACCAGAGAACGGAGGAAGCCCCTTGGCGAGCAACGAGGTGCCAATGTCCATCCACCCGCGTGAGCGAGCCCAGAGCCCCTCCATCTGTGCCGCTCCCGGAGACCCCTGACATCCAGTGCCCAGGACAGGAGTGACCCATGTCCTGCCCCCGCGGCCCGGGGCTCCCGCGTGAGCCTGCCCAGGCTGGCTCGACCTTGCCCCCCGGACGAGCCTGAGCCCCGGGCACCGAGCCCCCTACCATCAGCCATGGTGCCAGCGCAGTGTCCAGCGGGAGTCTGAGTCTGGGCACACGATGGGAAAACACCTTCACGGGGTGCGTGCACCATTAAACATTAACGGCCAGGGTAATGTTTACCCAGTCACAAGGCGAGGCGCACGGCCCAACCGGGCCACGCAGAGGAAGGGCCGGCGCCTGCCGCCCCCCACCTCGGAGCCTG